AAAAATTTGTCATTCCTTTTTCTTTTTTTAATTTAGCTGAAAATATGAATTTTAAATAAAACAAAAGAACAAAGAGCACTGATCAAAGAGCATCAAAAGTTATACCTTTTATAATCTTTGATTTGTACTGTTCATTTTCAAAATAAACCAAAAAAAGAGAAACAAACTTAATCCATTCAAATATCAATAATAAAATAAATGAATGATGCGAGAGTGTACGAATGATTTGTGTGAGAATGAAATTGACAGATGGTTAGTTTAAGACATTTTTTTTTTTTAAATTGATCGTTTGCTAATAAGAAATAAGCAAAAAAAAAAAAAGTTAAAAAAATCCTTTTTCTTTTTTCTCCAAAATATTATTCCTCCTCAATCACGTCATTTGCTGTTTAATTATTGTGAAAATCATTTCCTACTTTCTTTTTTTTTGAGACAGAAAATTTTTTTTTTAAATAAAAAATTAGGATCAAACTTTGCTTCTTTCACTGTATTCAAGTATTTAAGCATAACAAATGGCGCATATGCATATATATATGTTTACTGTATTTCCTTTTTTTTTCCCTCCAACAATTTCAAAATTTGCATACATATGGTTAAATTATTTCTTGCCAATTAACTTATCGATAGTTTTTATCAAATTATTTCCTACCAGTATAAACTTATCAATAGCTTTTAGTGTATCGATCATATTTTAATTTTTCTTTTTTTCTTTTTATATTCGTGCTGCTGTTTTTTCAACACTTACGTTGTGATTTTTTGAATATTTCAAAAAATCGTTAAAGATTATCACAGTTCAATTAGTGAATGCTTTATTTGATATTTTAATTTCATTAAATTAAAAATGGTGAATTCCAAAAATTGCTTCATTCATATTCAAAAAGTATTGTTTATTGTTTATCGAAAATAAACCAACTGAAAAGGTTTTATTTGATTTTTTTAATTTAATGAAATTAAAAATGATGAATTTCAAGAATTGCTAAAATATTTGCTATTCCATATTCAAAAGGTATCACTTTTTGTCTGTCAAAAATAAAACAAAAAAAGCTTCCATTAAGAGCAATGTTTAACAATAATAATGATAATAAAAATAACCATTACCTATGTTGTTTTATGATAAAAACTAAACAACAAGTAATGTGAAATGTTTTTATTGTTTGTGGTATAATTAACAATACTAAAAGTAATAAAATTAACACATTATCTATTGCTTGCGATAAATAAACTGAGAATAAGTGCAAACAATAAATAATAAATAGTGTAAAATTTTGATTATTTATTAATTATGATAAACAAACTTATTGATTGAATGTGATATAACTTATGAAAATCTGATAGATCAAAATAAAATTATTTGCGTAAGATGAATTAATTGTAAAAATGATGGTAATAATAATAATAATAATAATAATAATAATAATAATAATAATAATAATAATAATAATAATAATAATAATAATAATAATAATAATAATAATAATAATAATAATAATAATAATAATAATAATAATAATAATAATAATAATAATAA